CAATATTATTGATCCAAGGGTATGCAAACTCTGTCCTTTGAGTCAAATATGGCCCGGTACCTGTTCCGTAACCAGAAGTGTTACTGGAACACAGTCATGCCCTTTTGTTTACACATTGTCTGTGACTGTTTGTCCCTGGGTTGTGCAAATGGTTTGCACTCGACTCCTAACCTAAGGGTTGGCATTTACAATCTGCCCATCAGTGCCGCAGAAGAAAGGCCTGACGATCTGCTTCTATAAAAATTAGAGCCCAGAAAACCCTATGGACCAGTTCTACTCTGTAACACATGGGATCGCCATGTGTCGGAACTGACTCAGCAGCGGTGAGTTTTTGGTTGTGATTACTGGCTCTGCAGTGGCACACCTGAGTAGTAAAGAGAGATGATGTGGCCTTGTGGCCTGCACAGCCTCACTGCTCGGATCTCTCCAGAACACATTTTCCAACCCCTCATGTGAATCGTAAAAGAAAGCAACAACTATGAAATTCTTCATGTTTGAGGTATAATCTAATAAGTCAGTTTCATTAAGGTAATCTTATTATGGTTAGAGGCAGACTAGTATAGCGTTTCAGGGAGAATTTTTTGTTTATAATTTTATGGCCTTGGGCCAGTAAGTCAGCCTGGTTCAGTGTGTTTTCTTATGTGTGAAGTGTGGATGCTACTAGCACCTGGCATGTTTATGGTGAGAATTATGTGTTAAGAACTTTCAGAATGCCTGGCACCTGGTCAAGTGGTCAGGCCACCCCTATGGGAATCCTGGCTCTGCACCCTACTCATTACATGGACTTGGATAGATAAAATAGCCTTTAATCCTCTCGGCTCCTCTCTGTAAAATGGGGAGGAGTAGTATTTACCTAACATTGAACCATTTTCTGAGGATTAAATGAAATAATGCATGGGAAGCACTTAGCCTGTGGATTCCTGGCAGAGAGTAAATGCTCAGTTAACGTGAGCTGTTCTGGTTGTGGTTTCCATTGTTCCGACCCAGCAGAGAACTGGTGTTTACTGTTAATTAAGAATGCCCAAGTCAAGCCAACAGACTTTCTTTTAACTACAAAAAGCAGAAATGTGACTTTTGTGAATCTACATTGTATATTTAAATATCTGCAGTTAAGTGTTATGTCCAACTAAAGGTCGAACAAGATAATACTAAATGCCACTGCATTTCAAGTTGGAGTTTCATTTCTTGGAGGTATTTTAAACCTCTTGGCAGTTCCTCTGGTAAATGGACTGATAGAGACACCCACATCGGCTACTCTTTAATCATCCCATATGATAATGAAGCTAAAGAGTCTGTTCTAAATGTTGCTTGCCTTGGGCCAGGTGTTTGACCTTGGCCGAATTAAATTCTTGTTCTTCCCCATTCGTGGATCGCTTATCCAGGAGAAGCCCCATTTGATTGACTGTCATACACTCTGCCAACATGGAGGAGGCCCTCCTTCATGCTGGGCATTGTGCTGGGTGCTGGGTGCTGGGCACAGGGAGGGGACAGGTGGCTTGCTCAGGCTGCTCCCAGCTATACCTACACTCACTACCTGAGACAGGTGTCTTCCGCCTGGCTGGGAAGACACTTTGGCAGCACAGAGGAAGGAAAACCCTCCACTGGGAGAAATAAGTTTCAATTAAGATGTTACATCATTGTACAAGTGCCAGATGACATCATAACTGCCAAACCTCTGAGAATCATGGCCCAGCTAAGTTGACACACAACCCCAAGGATCACATCATCCCAGAGCATTCTCGCTGTGTGTCTGTCTCTGAGTCTGTACTCCTCTTGTACCAGGACACCAGTCATGTTGGATTAGGGCCTGCCCTATGCCATTAACTTAACGAAGGGCAGCTGCAAAGAGTGTTTCCAAACAAGACGCTGTTTCGCATTCACAGGTACCAGAGTTCAGGAATTGAACATATCTTCTAGGGGGTGGTAGCATAAACCAAGCTATAACAACAGTGGGGTTGTCACTTATCATTCATATTTAACTTTTCACAAAGTTTGGGGGAAAGTATAAGCTTGACTTGCTGGGAGCAGGTAGATGTACTCCTATAGCTGAGCCTGAGGCCTCAGTGTCAGCTTTCTACACAGAAGTGGAACTAACGCTACACGGGGTGCTTGGGAACAGGACAAAGGAAAGATGCTTCTCCCCTCAGAACAAGCCTCGGGCCTTTA